ATCGGGGTGATTTGAAAATTCAAATCTGAATTTGTACCATTGTTCATGCTTCTGCAGACCCAGAGAAAGAATTTTCATGTACTCTTTAATCAAAGAAGTACAGGGATGAAAGTTGGGCTTTATTCGGATCTGAACACTGATGCTAATAGTAGCAATCAAAAAGTAATTTAATGCATTGAATAAAGATGTGTTAGGGAACTAGTCTTTTTTTTTTTCAGTTCAACAGTCACTCATTCTCATCTCTTCTGGGACAAGTGACTATGGATTAAAACATTGCAAAATATTTGCATGAAAAACTGGCACTTCAGTAAAGTTTCCATTGCCTTTCCCCCAGTGAATAGTTCCTAGGCCTCATTCTGATGTTTTTTTTTCTTAAAGTAGGTCTGTTTTTGTCAGAACATTTAGTAAATTACATTATTTTATACCCTTGCAGCCTTTGTAGCATGTTCATGTTTTGCACATTACTAGAATAAACATTTTTCTTCAATATCGTAAGAGGGGGAAAAAAAGTTTTTGTACACACAATTCTCTACATCTGTCTTAACACAAAGAAAATGAGTGATTGGTTAGTATTTAAATTATTTATTTATTCAGTTAGTCATTCATTCATTAATTTCAAATTTCACATTACTTTTTTCGCATTTTATTTGTTCACATTTTACAACCTGAACTAACCTGAAAAGATCAAATTATCTGATATTTTTTCAGACTTTGCCACGCAAGGTCTGCATGTCTGCTTTATAATATAATTCCTTGCATTCTTTGCATTTTTTCCTGAATTTTTATAATATTAATAAGCAGTCAAGTCAAGTCACCTTTATTTGTATAGTGCTTTATACAATGCTGGTTGTGTCAAAGCAGCTTTACAGTGTCAAACAGGAAAATACTTTGTCAATAATGCAAGAAGACAATAACGGGCATTTTTCCAGCTAAAGTCAGTTCATTGATGTTTCAGTGATGTCATTATCCAGTTCAGCTCTCTTCCAGTAGTGTCTGTGCAATCAGTCAAGCAGTACTCAGTCAAGTAAAGCAGTTTTAGTCCTGTGATAGACTGGCCATCTGTCCAGGATGTTTTCCCCAGCTCTAGTCCAAGACTTCAGGGATAGCTCCAGCATCCTCACCCAGAAAAGTGGTTTTGAGAATGGGTAGAAGAATGAATGAAGCAATTTTTACTTATTTTTTTTAAATCCAGTATCCAAAATACATAACTAGGATTCCCTTTAAAGAATTCAATGTATTCTTTTAATGATTTTTTTTTTCTTATAATATCTGGACAATTGTTTGACCCTGACATTGTCATTTTGAAAATATAAAATACATTTTAATTCAAGCATAACAATCATGCTAATCATAGAAGGGGTGTATTCAAGTTCTACTTTGTCAAAGACTAATTATTTATTTATTATAAATTATAATGTAACTATTTTAGCCTTATCCAGTTCAGCTCTCTTCCAGTAGTGTCTGTGCAATCAGTCAAGCAGTACTCAGTCAAGTAAAGCAGTTTTAGTCCTGTGATAGACTGGCCATCTGTCCAGGATGTTTTCCCCAGCTCTAGTCCAAGACTTCAGGGATAGCTCCAGCATCCTCACCCAGAAAAGTGGTTTTGAGAATGGGTAGAAGAATGAATGAAGCAATTTTTACTTATTTTTTTTAAATCCAGTATCCAAAATACATAACTAGGATTCCCTTTAAAGAATTCAATGTATTCTTTTAATGATTTTTTTTTTCTTATAATATCTGGACAATTGTTTGACCCTGACATTGTCATTTTGAAAATATAAAATACATTTTAATTCAAGCATAACAATCATGCTAATCATAGAAGGGGTGTATTCAAGTTCTACTTTGTCAAAGACTAATTATTTATTTATTATAAATTATAATGTAACTATTTTAGCCTAACTAACAACTGCCAGCACACCTAAACGAGGTACAAAAAAGGTGTCCCTTTGAGCCACCTGGTGGATATTCTGTGAACAAGTCAGGTGGTAAGGGTTATTCTGGGTGGCTTCCTACTGTCTACCTACTGTAGATTTTAAACACACATCTTTCCTATGCCTGTTGGGAAGGCTTTAAATGTGTGTCTGGTAGATTTAAATATTTCTAGGTAGTCAGATAGTTAGGACTCATTATCTCACAGCCAAGGCTCATTAACCGTAATCAAAGTAAAGAAAATTCAGATTTCGACTTTGGGCTTCATCCACTCTTCTTCTTGTCAGTCAGTTGGTTTGTGCAGTGTTTTCAGGTGATTATATGTATAATCAACTGAAGTATGTGTTTAAAAAAAACTAATCACTATAATCTTCTTTGTCCTGCAATGCTCAGTTTATGGTGGATTAGATCAGTGTTTCCCAACCACTGTGCTCAGGTGTTGTCAGGTGTGCTGTGGAAAATTATCAAAGCATTCTATCTCTATTATATTTTGTTATTATTATTATTATTTTAAATCAATGCTATTGGTCATCTTTATGTCCGTTTGTGGGTTTTACAAAAAATACCCATATAGCAATAATAAACTTTATAACCTGTAAGAAAATTGAATGCGATGCTCTCACTGCCTCAGAAGCGACTGTTCTAATGATGGACAAAACACATATTGCCGTCATTCGCTGGTGTCTGATCATATTTAAAGCCACATACCAACTCTGACAACGCTGTTTAATTATTAAAAAATATATATTTTTACATTTCCTGAAAGTGGTAGTTATTTTGGACGTACATTGTTTCCGCCAGACCGCAACGATATGTAAATTTGTTGTTTTATTATTACCAACAACATAAAGACCTATGACCTTGTGTTCCTACCTGGCTTAAGCTCAAGTTTCACATTAAATTTGAGTACTACTTTTAATATAATATCCAGTTTTAATATGCCATTTGGAGCAATTGCCTGTTTGCAAATCCATGGCCACCTCTTGGACACCAAAGAGTCATGATGCATATCTAGGCCAGGGGTTCCCAAACTTTTTTGTCAGCCGAACCCCTTAGATATAAATTATCGCAAATGTGTAAATAAATAAACCAAGTGCACATTGCGTTCTCAAATGCTTGTTAAATTCACAGGATTGTGAGACTATGCAGCCTTTGATTTGATAAACGTACTAAGATATATCGTGATTAGCATTTAGCCCTATTGATTTACTTATTTATTGTACATTCAATATAATTAATTATTAGCTTTTCATCAACTTATCAACCCCCATTTGAGAAACCTGGATCTAGGCCGTTACTGATGACAATACTTGAACTTTGTAATTTGTCCTGTCTGCAACTTAGATGATGTGGAGAAAGCACTATAATAAATAAAAAGCAATAATTTTAGAAGGCATGGGGCTTTCATACTAGATTTGAATGGCTATTTTGATTTTAGTGAAATTTTAATGGCCTTATTGGGTCATTATTATGATTTCTGGAGCAACATAGATGCAAGTGTTAAATGTTGTAGTAAGCCATTATAGCTAATTATATTTAACCATCCATGAAATATTCATGCATTTTTAATAATGGATGCTTTTCTGAAGTGAGGGAGTATCTTTAATGATTGGCTATGGTCAGGTGTCTGAAATAAAACTCATCTTACATTATTTCTGAGGCCCTGTTGGATTAGACCTTGGACTCTCCTTTCATCTTCACAATGTGTTGGGAACAATGTAAGCAACAATATTAAAACTGATCAATGGTGAGGATTTAAAGCAAACAAAACACTCTTTATCCTCTGTAGGATTAATTATCTACCTTTGTAAAATAGCCTATCTGGAAAAAAATCAGAATAGTGACATATTAAAGCAAAATGCCTTTGTTTTTGAGGGAGACAAAAAAGTGTGCCACAAGCTTGAATGTGTCACAACTCTGACTTTTTTCCAGACATTTTACAGGTAAGGTAAACACTATGACAAAATTTATCATATTATATGTGACATTATATAATATGCCATATGGTGTCATTAATATCCTTATTATAAATTTTCATGACACATGTATAGCCAAGGTTATATGGTCTACTGTAATTATGTCCAAATGACTAAATGGCATGGATTTCAAGCTAATTTTGTAGTTCTTGCATAGTCCCAATTTAATCTATCTCAAAAGTACAAAAAAAAAGAAAAAGAAAGTAATCCTTAGTCAATAGAAGATTATAAAAATATATACTGACTCCATTTTTATAATAAAAATAATAATAATAATTATGTCATTTACTCACCCTCATCATCTTCTAAACCTGCATGATTTTCATTTAGGTTTAGCAGAATGTTGAAAATGAATGGCGACCAAAGGCTGTCAAGCTCCATAAAATAACAAAAACATCATAAAAGTTGCTGTTGATAATATCAGGTAATATTAGTCCGTTGGAGGCAGCCTCCATGTTTTCCTTCAGGATGTCAGTGTTTGTTTTTAATGACATAACTAAGATGATGTCTGGCTTGACTAATGTTTGCCTCGAGTTTATAATTAAATAGAAACATATGAAACTATTTCAAGAGAAATGTCTTGTTTTTTGTCTCCAAAAAGACTGAATAGTAGAATTCAGCGTTTTGACCTTAACACACAGACTATACCAGATGCATTTGCTGATATGGTGCCCCTCTGCAACTTGAGGCTGTTCAACACTGAACGCGTCACATTTCAACCTTCCAGCAAATGTTCCAAATCTGTTTGTCATGTTTTTGGAAGCAGTGATACACCACTTCGCTCACATTTGGTGTAAACAGGGTGCAATTCACACAATTGTAGAGGCCAGTGTAACTGCATGACTTCACGTCTCTTATTGGCTTAGTTAATCGTCCATGGAATCTATACCATTCTGACCCAGATTAATTGAATTTTGAACATTCTGAATTTTTAAATCTCATGAATCCTTTAAAGAAAAATTCCTTTCATGTGAAAGAGGCATAGAGAATGTTTAGTTGTGCTTTGGTCTCCTGTTCTGCCTTTTGGGTTTTCTCAGACTCAATCTCCTGACCTATTCGCTCTCTTTCTTTTTAATTATTTTATCTGTGTAGGACCCTAGGAGCAAGCACAAATTTAAGATCCACACCTATGGCAGTCCCACATTCTGTGACCACTGTGGATCTCTTCTATATGGACTCATACACCAAGGAATGAAATGTGACTGTAAGTAGTACCATACTAAACTATTTTTTGCCCAGGGGCGGTTCTAGGGTCAGTGATTGTTTGGGACTTTTCTATGTCAATGTTTAGTATATGGAGTAATTATTTGTTTAACTATTGGAATATTATATGTTAATATTATGTTAAAATATTATGAGCAAGGTATTATTTTCATTAAGTAAATCTGAAATCAGGGACCTCTTGCTTTATGCAAATGTGTGTTTGTGTTCAAAGCCTGTGATACGAACGTCCATAAGCAGTGTGTGATGAACGTGCCAAGCCTTTGTGGAATGGACCACACAGAGAGACGAGGACGTCTTTACTTGAAGATCGAGGTGATAGAAGAAAAAATGCATGTCACAGGTGAGTTTCCGTGTTTTACCATGACAAATGATGCAACAGTGCAAAACATATCAATGCTGTTGCATATTTATTTCCCAAGGTTCTTCAGGGTTCTATATTTGGTTCACTGCTCTTTATTAGATATACTTGGTCATATCTTTCACCAGCCTACCCTCAATTTTTAGGGCTATGCTGATTGTAATAAACTGCTCGGTGACACGAAGGTAGAGGATCCAAATGCAGTAGTATATTGGAGAGGTAATCCACAAACGTAATCCAAAGGCAGGCAAAGGTCATACACAAATAGGTAGTGATGGGCGCGTTCGAAACACTGCTTCACGAAGCTTCTAAACATTTGCAAATCTTTTGTTTCGAATCAGTGTTTCGGAGCACGTATCAATCCGGCCAGGTCACGTGATTTTAGCAAACGAAGCTTCTTTACGTCACACTGTTTCGAAATGTTTCGAAACTCCGATGGTTCACCACTAGGGGGTGTTGATCTCAAAGTGAACTCATGAACCACTTCTGGTTGCCCAGTTAATCATGTGACATGAAATCCCACTAAATTTTACTATTAAAAAAATAAAGAATTCAGGGCCAGATGTTGTGGGTTAAACAAAGGATGACTTCCCTTTAACACAAATGGCTATATAGTTTAAAAAATGTGTAAAAACATTCAGTACTTTCAACCTACAAATCACATCATACCTTAAAAATAACAAAATGAGCTTACAATAGAATTAAATCCACCTCCTTCTCCTGACTGATAACACTACTCTTGCCTGCTAGTTTTTATAGACAGCTCTAATGAAAACACTTAATTAAATAATTACATCAATCAATTAATTCATTAAATAATTAATTTAGTTAATTGTGTGTTAAGGGTTTGATTATACTTAAATAAAACACATAACACAAGCACTAATATTTAATAGTGTTTAAATGTTTATTATTTATTTTTTTAAATGGTATTTAAAAAAAAAAACATTTCCATTTGTTTTGTAAGTTTGTTCTGAGTTATTGATGCTTTTACAATGTTTTCACCAGCAGGTGTCGCCAGCATGTGCTATTTCAAATGCTTTGAAACATCAAATCATTTTTCGAAGCAATTGGTTCAATTGATTCAATGCTTCAAAAAGCTTTGTTTCTCCCATCACTACAAATAGGCAATCCAAAACAATGACAGAGTAAGGGGCTAAGGCAAACAGTGTAATCCAGAAAACAGGCAGAATAACAAGACCAGGAACCAAGATATAGAAGAACCAGGATACAAGGATTAGAATTGCAGTAATGACACATACACAACTTTGCAAAGAATGACTGTGAGAACTGGGCTTATATAGGGTGAGCTAACCATGCTAATGAGACACAGGTGCAAACAATGAGTGCTGATGAGACCAGGCAGAGGATTATGGGGAATGAAGTAGGACTGGGCCAGAATATTCGATTATTCGGTTGGCATTCGATTTTCAATTTTGAGATTCGAATATTTTTTTTTTTTTTTTGAACACCTGTCATCCTCCGCAAAACGGTTCTCATACGCACTTGAATATGAATCGCCCATGAGTGAACGTCATGATTCAGTTCATCTGGAAGAGAAGACAAAAATGCCGAAGACCTCAGCTGTGTGGGAGCACTTTAAATTGAGTGAGGACAAGACAAAGGCAGTGTGTCAAATATGCGATTTGAAACTGGCCTACCACAACAGCATATCAAGTTTGAAAAATCACCTGAGTTCTGTAAGTAGTATGCCCATAGTATATTGTTGGTGTAAGAAAACGAGCTGCTTTTATCCGCCATGTTAATCAGTAATTTTACACATGATAAAAACGGGCACTTAATTTGCTTGGAAAACACTGGCGAATACGGCAGTCATAAAAAAAATGTACAGTAGCCCAGCCTAATAATAATTTGTCTATATTAAAAGTATTGCTCTTAACAGACCTGTGTGTTTTGTATCACTAGTGCAGTGTCCGTTTTCGGAGCATGTAAGCCCTGCCCGTGTGAGGCGCGCTGCTTCCGGATTTCACTGTTCTGTCGTTTTTTAAAGTTTATTAATTCTGAACGTGTCGCGTGTCCATATTGCACCAAAATCCGACACTGCACTCCCTTGGGTCCGCAGCAACACTCCCGCCACGCGTGAAGTCGATTTGGATGAACGGTTCTCGACATAATAAAAATGCAAACAGACAGACAGACACACAGAGATTCCTGCCTTTATTACAGGTCGTGTATACACCGGACGCGACAGTTGTCGTGTCGCGCCGCGCCGCAACAGCTAAAGTCTGTCTATACTGGACGCGACAAAGCAACCGTTGAAAATCATTTGAAATCTGTGTCAGTACGTCATAAATAGAACGCAGCAGCAGTTTACTGTCGGGAATTTGTCACGCCACGTTGCGCCGCATCCAGTGTAGACAGCATCCTATAGGTTCTATTGTATTTTGTCGCGGCGCGGCGTTCGGTGTAGACACGTGTTGAGAGAAGAATATGTTCAGGGGGAATATGTCCCCCTCCCTCTGAAGCTTCGAATATTCGGTGTTGATTATTACCGAAGCTTCGAAGCTCAAAAAATGGTATTCGGAACAGCCCTAGAATTAAGTCCTTGATAGAGTGGCAAAGGTATGGTTTGGAGTGCCCTCTAGTGGTGGCTATCAAGAGCACTCCAGCTGGTGATCGTGACTCGGTCCGAGCGTTTTAATATGCTTTCGTTTGCTTTCAGTGCTATCAGGCTAAAGTTAGCATTTTCCAAGATCTCCTACTGCACCTTTAAGTTAACTGGACATTAGTTCCAAACTCAATGCCCCCTCTCCCCTGCTCCTTAACTGTCTGCATTCACAATGTCAAGATTTGCATGACCAAATTCCTCAAAACCAGATAAAATGTATTGTTAGTCAAATGTTTTATAAATTGCTTCAGAAACTACCTGTATTTTATTTTATTTTTATTTTTATTTTTTACCATGATCTGTCTAACAGTGTTGATTTTGTTCAAGTTGACATCTTTGGAATTCTCTGTCACAATCTCTCCATGACCTCTTCACCATTTGAATTCAAAACTCAACTTGAAAATGCATCTTTTTACATTGCATTACTACGTTTTCTAAATCCTGTTGTACCTGTTCTGTCTCAGTACACTTGTATTATTTTGTTTGTGCTTGCTTTGCTTTCATTATACTTTGTGTTGTTTAGGGATGCACCAAAATGTGGGACATCATAAATAGAAAATATAGAGAAAAGCAAAAATCTTGGTCAAAAATATGTATAGAAACTAAATGAGCTGTAAGAGTTAAGACAAAAGAAACATTGACATGGAAAATAATCATATTTAATGTAAACATTAATTGTGCACACACAATATGACAGTACAAAAACTGTATTGCATATTTACTGTACATTTGGCACAAATGTGCTTGTACTTTATAAAAATCAGTTGAGTTTTTTTTTTTTGCATATCATAATTATGTCAAAAAATAAAGATCATTAAAATTAAGTGTTACAGCACTGACATGAATAATTATTTTTCCCCCTATATAGTCAATGTACAATATTTTATGTTTTATAATTGTGAAGTCACACCACTTGAAGGAATGTGGCGTAATCACTTTAATTTTAATTTTAATTAATTCACATATAAATAAAACACATCATTAGAGGGTGGGAAAAAATTATACAGGTTGCATGACCATTGTTTCTTTAACAATTCTGAATTAAACAAAAAAAATTATATAATTATATATATATATATATACAGTGGGTACGGAAAGTATTCAGACCCCCTTAAATTTTTCACTCTTTGTTATATTGCAGCCATTTGCTAAAATCATTTAAGTTAATTTTTTTAACTTAAATGATTTTAGCAAATGGCTGCAATATAACAAAGAGTGAAAAATTTAAGGGGGTCTGAATACTTTCCGTACCCACTGTATATATATATATATATATATATAAACCTGTGCCATGGATGGCTTAAAGTATGCCAATCAGCAATGTGCATCAGTCGGTCTGTGAGCAGACAGTGGGCGGCCCATTATGCCATTTGAGGCTGAGGTTAGTGTCATTATAGATGTTACTACCCTGATACTCTGTGTTGTGTTGTCACCAGTATGCTACTCTTAAGACATTACATTTTGTATATATAGCATTTGAAAAGCTGAGCTGAGCTAAGCTTCTGTATTATAACAGTGCTGTCAGTCGAAGAGCCTGAATGCCCTAGTCTTCAGATCCACACACGCAGAGTCTGGAGTGCTGGAGCTGCACCTGCACAATCAGCCTGATTACAACGTGCCAGCAAACTGCACACACACAGCTGCAGTGTGATTTAGTCTGTATGACGTTCACTGGCTAAGAAAGAAAATGCCATTAGCAGAATGTCAGACTGATGAGTTCAAGAATAGATCACAGGCTGCATTCACACTCACTGTGAGTATGTGCGATTTTGCTTGATGGCGTACACATATATGCTTATAAATATGTATGTATGTACGTACATGTGTATGTTTATTTTAAAGGGGTCCTATTATTACTCTTTTACAAAGTCTTGATTTTGTTTTGGGGGTGTACTAGAACAGGCTCTTATACTAGGTTGTTCGAAAAACACATTCTTTTTCACATATTTTACATTATTACAACACCTCTCTCCCCAGTCTGGCATGAACTGCTCGAATAGTTCCTGTATCAAAAGAAGGCCCGCCTTCTGAAATACGAAATGTGCTGTGATTGGTTAGCTGGGCCAGTGTGTGTTGTGATTGGCACCACTCGGCGCCTGGTCGGGAAATGTCATGCCACTCGGGTTGATGATGTGGTGTGTTATATCTGTAACAATTTTGTATACTAAATGTCAGACATATATATTTAAACATCTGCTCTATTGCATGCCATGTAAAGCTTTAGGTGAGGTGTAAAGCAGTGACCAGATAGAGAAGAAATATATTTACACAAGCAGACCTGGATGCCTTTTTGACATAATCTGTATTATAGCGCTATAGAGATAAAGGTCATTTGTTTTGCTGGAAATATCTA